CCTTTGAGCCGACACGGCCTTGAGCCAAAATGGCTTGAGCCGTAGCCATGAATTCCGTTTTACTTGAACGTCAACTTCCACCAGGGGGATTCCAAAATCTCGACTTCTGGATGGAGGCAAACATGTGCCCATGAGGCTGCGGGGATGAGAGTCGCTTTGACACTTGACCTTGCCGTTCATGCCTAGCTCCGTCACCACTCTGTCAAGAGCACAAGTCATCCCAATCCCTGCGACGGCTGGAGCGGCAAGTGCCTCAACGAGACTTATACCGGGCCACAATGAAAGAAAAGATGTCGCCACAAAAGTTGTTGCTGCAAGCACGTCGAACCCTCAAACACACATCCCAAGGAGCGTAGGGGGAGCCAAACTGATAAAGCACAAGCTTACGCCAATCAACCCTCAGCCGTAAGCGCTAGCTGACCGCTTGAGGACTCCCCTAGTCTCCCATCCCGAGATAAGCCCCACATTTTGCACCTACTCCAGTACTCCTCAACCCGACAGTGCGACTGCAGCCTGGCTGTAAACTAAAGCCCTGAACTCGAAGGCCAAGTCGCTTGAGCCGGCTGAAGGGTTCGCTACTCGCAAACTGCACAAAGCTCAGATGATGCAGCTTTACCCGGGATGTCTATGGGAGCCCCAAAAACCGTCAAAAAACTTGTAGGCAAGCTGCAGACGATTCACTGACCTCGCCGCTGTACTTATATGACAAATCGCTCGGTCTCTTTCGCCGCGTGCAGCGCCCGTACTTTGCACGACGGCCACCCAGGCAAAGCACCGCTCCTGTGGACCCAAAGCGTCGGACTGGAACCCGATACCAGTGCAGCGCAGCAAGCAGAGACCACTCTGGGCCACGATAGAGGTCAGGGGACAGTTCAGAGCGACTGCGTGTGGCGGCCCGAAGCATCATCGGAAGCAGACTGCCGTTCACTAGCCAAGGCCACCTGCCAAAGTATGGCTTTGCATACCTCCGTGGTACCACGGCAAAGCGGTCATTGATGCCATCCCAGTCCTCACCCGAACATCTAAGCCCGGACATGATTTAAGACTGAGACTCGCATTGGCAAATGCGCATTTAAGGCACGCCAAGTCCTGCCCGTCCGGAATCCAAACAGCAGCTGGATCAGCTCGTTGGAAAGTGGATAAAGCGGGTGGCAGTGCAAGCCACAGCCAATCCAAGCGTGCAAATATCCAGTACTTGTAGCCTCACAACCCAGCGTCGTCTGCAGCTCAAGCTGAGATCCCTCTGAAAACTCAAAAACTGCCAAGACCTTCTTGGCGAGACTCGCTGGCCGTGTTCTGCTTCAGCGGCGGTAATCTGCTCCCAGCAGTGGAACAAGGTTCGAATGTGGAAAGCATTTCCTGAATCAGTGGAGGGCAGGATGCGCAAAGAAGGCCACTCCTACAACACCTTGTACTGTCTTATAACCTGTAAATCATTTGCAGAATTCGCATGTGTTCTCGTGCCCTTCAGCCAAACCTTGGCTCCCAGGTTCTGCCCTCCGCGACCGTCAGCGGGCCCAAAAAGTTGCCAGAGATTTGCCGATAGGCCTACCCAGACTCACAGAGAAATTGCCTCTGGGCACGGGGTTTGCATTGGATTGTACACTGACTGTGCTTTGTACTTTGTACTTTGTACTAGACGCGCATGGCAAAAAAAGCTCGCTCAGTCGGTCTTATTCACGTTGACGTCTGGGTCTTCAGGCTATGACATGGTGTCGACTCTGATAAAATGATATGTGTTGATCTCCGTGGGTGTAGGTTGTGCAGGCTTGCTTCGTGCAGCGTGGACTTTGGTGGGCTAGCCGGTGTGTTATCCTCACAACGGCAGCAGCACGAGCGACACCATTGAACCTTGAGCTGGCCTCCAGAATGTGAGAGCCGTTTCTGCTGAACGAGTAGTGTCGGAGGTCCTCAATGGTGCGATGCACGCAGTGGCCAAACTCATCGTCTAATAAGCAGCCAGTTGCAAAACAGCACATGTGCACGTAGTCTACGCTGGCCCAATTACATCCGATTCGAAGCTTCCGTCCCTAGCTGAAACCTGCCCGACCTACCCCGCCAGCACTTGTCACCCGTCCTCAAGCAGACCGGACCGGCCGCGGCCGTCCACCTGTCAGAAGGGAACTTAGCTGCTTGAAACCACTGGTTCACCAGGCATCGCACGCCTCGTAGGAGACGCCCTTGAACCACGTTGTGTCAAGGCCGGCCACCTCTTTGGGCATTTTTTCTGCCTCAAGAGACCAGGCGCAAAGCGGGAAACAACCCACGTCATGCGCCGGAGTGCTCCCCTCAGACCCCACCTTCCTGGCCAGCAGCGCGAATGCGTCTGCCTGAAGCGGGTAGCAATGGGTAGCATACCAACCCACACTGCTCGTTCGGCGTTCGCCGATGTCTGCATGGCACCCTGCCTCCAAGACTTCTGCAGCTTTGGCAGCTTGCTCCAATGCCACCTGCTGTGCACAGGGCAGCATTCAGCATCTGCAGCTCAATCCCTCTGCGCACGCAAAGGGGAAAGAGGGGACGCCAGACTGCAATCCAAAGCAACAAGGGCCTGCGGCGGTAGCCGGTGTGCCGGCCCTGCAAGACAGAGTGCCGAGGATGCGAGGCCTCTCGATGACTACTGGAAAGAAGTGTGAACCTTGCATGAGATTTGGCTGCGCTGATTTGTGTACAAGCCTGAAGTTCGCACAGCCTGCCTTTGGCAGAGCTTACCTGTTGTCTGCTCTTCAACTTTGCACGAAGCGGCACAGCAAGACACATCACAGTTGGAAGCCTGGGAAATGAGCTGAAGCTTGGATTCTATCAGTCTTGCCTTTTGCCGTGCTCGCTGGTGCCAGGGCGAGCAGCAACTGTTTGAGCATAGCTGGAGTCTCAGCATAACTTCTTTGTGTTTGTGTGCTTTGCATGTATCTGAAGTTCTCTAGGTCTGCCTTCCCTGCATGCAACCATCACCCATGGCAGGGCAGGTGGCCCTTTGAAGCCGACGCTGCGTGCTGTCTACGTGGTTTTGGGTGGTAGATGCCTGTTGACCACATCATGGTGTGTCGTGTTGCTGTCCACGCGTCTAGGTAACGGAGTAGTCGATCAGTAACTGAAGCCGTTCCTCGCTGGCCAAATGGCTACAATCGATCCTTTGTGACAAGACACACCTATTCCTTTTCTTTATGCACGCACATAGTTCGGTTGCTTCACGACTTCCAGTTTGCACACGAGTGTGCCGCTGCAAGTGTCTTCTCTTTGCCTCGAGACCCATCGAACTTGGGCCTAAGCCTCGCTTCTTGTTGCCTCCCTCACCGGACGTTGCTTTGGTGCTTGCTCAGCGCAGTCCGTCAAGAAACTGCAGACGACTTGCAGACGACTTGCAGACATGCGATCTATGCCTGAACTCGCCCAAAGCTCTGCGTGCGACTCACTCCGAGGAGGCAGCTGGCTCACTGAGATGGTCAGCGTTGCTCCCCGAAGTCGTGCCTCAGCAGAGGGGGAGAATCGAAGGCCTCTGGCTGTCGGAAACCTGCATGGACTTCTTGTGAGACATGGGGTTCTTGGGCCCCAGGCAAGTACTTCCGCCGGTTCCGCCCGCAACCAAGCGCCCGGACACTGTCAGACTGAACTGGCCAGGCGGACAAAAGAAACAAAGCAATTCTCGTTCAGCCATTGATGTGACGTACAATGTACAGTCAACCTAGTTCCTGAACAGCCAAAAGCATTTCCAACGATCCTCGATGTCCCTCAAGCACATCCATGCCTGCTGGCTGGTGGTACGAAGCACCTGTGGGCAGCAACTGGCCAGGGCCGTCAAGCAGTGCTGCGCCGGCAGCTTCCCAAGCGAAAAAGATGAGAAGCAAAAGCCGCTCCAGTCAAGAGATCAGTCATGCTAGTTCTGGAAAGTGCGAAAGTGAAGGTAGATAGGGCTTCAACTCCCGAAGCTGTGGCGATCTGGCTTTCAAAAACATGCGAGCTCCTGCCTGCAGAAGGAAAACCCATCCTGGCGTCCGACGCATCTCCTCAGAAGCTCTTGGACTGCTCTCACCACTTGAGGGACGGACGCATCAACTGTAGATTACACAACTGTCCAACTGGAACTCTGCACAGAGGCCGGCACAACATGTCAAGGCAAGCTGCCTGGCAGGGTGATATATTTTTCCCAACAGGACGAAGGTACACCGAACAACTGAAGAGCGCAGCAGACAAAGATACAAATGAGCCAGAAGCTTCGAACTTGCAAGATGCACACAGCAAACGGTGATGCCTTTCGAGCGGCTATCCTTGTGGATCTAGAAACAACATACGGCATTGAAAGGAAGATGCTGCTGCGCTGCGCCTCAATGCCGTTTGCTCCGCAGCGTTTCATGATGCTCAAAGGCGACGATGCTCAGGATCTGCTTGCCTTTCGTGATTTACATTATGCTGCTTCTCATTGAGTGTTGTGGGATTGTGCCCGGAAGAGTTCACCTGTGCTCTTTGACCTTCGGCCCCGGCTACTTTAGGACTGTGAGCCGCTCGTTGCTAGCTGCCATGGTCGCTGAAACGTCGGCATCTGGCCAGCGGGCCGCAGCCCCTGTGCTTTTTGTCCCCAATCAGATGGGAAAGTTGCACACGACCTCGCTGTCCCGGCATGAAAACCCCGTGTGGGGAAATCCGTCCGGAAGACTGTCAGGCTACGGCTAGGGCCAGGGACCTGTGGCTGATTCGCAACTCAGACCTGGCTTCATTGAGTCTCCTCGCCCTTCCTCCTGACACAGCACAGTCACAGGATTGAGACGGGGGCGACGAAGCTTAGGGAGTCGGCGAACTTTGTCAAAGCCGGTAAACCCAATCCTTGCAAGATGTGCGGGTCGGGGAGGCCCCCCAAATTTTCCCCCGGCCTTAAATAATGTAATTATTGCTCAGAAACTCGACATACAGTAAGGGCCGCAATGCATGCTTCTCCTGAGGCCTACTACGGCTACTACGGCAGGCGAATTGGTAAACGACAACTCCCGCGAGCTCCACGGGGCTGCTTTTGTCACAATGGAAAAAAGTACATCATCAGCTGTCACCTGCATGCAGCCTAGACAATTTGACCCAGCCAGTCCTCAGAGTCCTGGCTAAGCCTGCCACCTCTTGCCCCCTTGGAATCGTAAACGAGGGGCAAAATACATCCGAAAAATACGAAACTAAACCATTTCACTACATGTCACATGTAGCAGATCAACAAAATCCTGCCGATTTCACTTGCCAAAGAACTTAAAGAACTTTTTGTTGCAGAGATCATCCATCCGACGGCTTTCCCGATCAAAGAGCTTCAGCTCGGAGAAGACGGCATCCGTCATGATTCGGCGCACGGAGATCAGGCAGGTTAGAAGAAGGACTGGCAACAGCAGCGACACCAGCACTGGAACTCGAAAGTCCATGCCGCATGCGCCGACATCCACCAATTGCCCGTGTCTACCACTGGTAGTGTTGTCTGGGACAAACACAAAGCTCGGATGGCACCGCTCTGTCCAGCCACAAGAGCACTCCTCAGCACACCCTGGACGCCGAGCACCATCCCAAGCACACGGAAAAGATCGGTCAAACAACTTCCGAGAGTGTTTCGGGAGATTGGTAGACTCCTTGGAAGGACAGGGGCGAGGCCATAGTTTGCTAAAAAGATGCGTCCAGACCATGACAGCCAAGAGAAATAAGAAATCACTGCTGAATACATCCGAGCGACACTCAGGCTGCGCGTAGAATTCTGGCGCCGCGAGGTCACCCTTGCCATCGGTCGAAGGGAGAACTCGCCAGAAATCACTGCTGTTGAAGCAAGATCTCTGATGATGGATGATGCTTTTTCACGTGGGGCCAAAGACCTCCGTCTCTTACGTGCTGCTGCGCATCGATGAAGCCAGACTATGCTGCCGCCTATGCGTTCGGAAATTGAGTTCCGTCCTTTCCACGACGCCACCTTGAAGCCTTGAGCCAGAAGTAGGTGAGAGCACGTCATGAGTTCGGCAAAGCCCCTTCAAGACTTGTGCAAACCAGATCCATCTTAAACAAACGCATTACTCAGCACTGGCAATCGCATGACGCAGCGCCACAGCTCCAGTTTACTTTTGAGCTGGTGCCCCATTTTGCGGCTTTGCCAGACGTTCTGCCTCCAGATACGGCACCTAAGACCAATGATCTCTGGACAAAGACGGCTGAATGCTGCCCAGCAAGGCAAGGGCCTCTTGGGATGAGAGCTTGCCCTGGCACTCGGCTGCACAGTCCCTGCTTCCCAACAAGTGCTTTAGGACGACCGGAACATTGCGACAGAATCGCGAAAAGCAAAGCTGTTCGCATCTATACAGATAGCACGTCGCATTGCGGCCTGCCGACAGCAGACAGGTGGTGTCAGTCGACTATTATCACAAAGATGCATGATGCTAGGCACAGCAGCAGATAAATAGTTTACGAGATGTCTGCAGATCACTTTCACTTCCCTTCTGTTGAATGCCAGACCAGCGCGAGAGTTTGCCAACAATCCAATCAATTTACAAAGGGCGGTTGGAACCGTGGATGGACAAAACATGACACGATGCTTTCAGCGTGCATGTGAAACCAGGTTTTGGGCGTTTGAACATGCACGGCGGCCCCGGCTTTGTCTGCAACCTGTGGCTGCTGTATCTGCTGTATTCCCTGAGACATATTTCGCCTCAGCAACATGCACACTAAACCTACCAGCAAGAGTTGCCCCAACTGTATCCGAGAATTGATCTTCCAATCTGCATAAAGTTGTGCTGCCTGCACGGGGAGAAAGCTAAATGAAAGCCTGGTGGCTAGGACAAGAGTGCTTCGTAACCGGGCAAGCTCCTGCCTCTGTGTAAATGCATTTGTGCATGTACACATGCTGCTGCTCACTGAGGCACCGTCAGCCAAAGGACGACCTCAACAGGGTCAACCATCCCTTGCATCATTTACAAGCAGTCCAAGACTTGCCAAGTTGGCCTTTGGTGTGCAGGCCTTGACATGGAAAGGGTAGACCAGAAGCACATGAACATCGCACAGGTCCATACCTGCCATGGCTTTGCATGGCAGTTTGCCATTTGCCTCCTTGCCCCTTGCCCGGCGAGTCCGCATATCTATGCTGGGCTTAGCCGGCAGCTACACTATGCAGTTCCACACGAATGGACATGCTTCCTGGAAAACAGTACCCGTGCTGTAAACCCGTCTAGCGCCTTGAACTGAGCATGGTTCACGCATGGGAAGGGTTAACCCGCTT